TAATTGGAGCTCAGTTGAGAGATAACAAACACACACAGCCCATAAAACATCGCACAGTTATGCTTCCCTATTTTGCAATGCAAACTGTACCAAACTATAAAACAAGAGCCTCAATTTAAACTGCAGAACACTTACTACATACAACTATTGCATCTTTTTCATTTTTTCTGGCCAACAAAAAGGCTATAGACGTATAGCTATGGTTATGTCTACTATTAAGCCCTTGTTTGGATAGAAAATAGTAAAGGGAAGGGAAGGGAGGGGAATGGAGGAAAATAAAAGGACATGGAGGGGGAGGAAAAGAAAGGGAAGGGAAGAAAATAGAAGGAAATGATTTGTGTTAATTTTGTTTGGATAAGTAAAAATAAGGAAGGGGAAGGGAAGGGAAGGATTGTATTATTTTATATTTGGATAATTAAGGTAAAAGGAAGAGAAGGAAGGGAAAGATTTAAATTAATTTTAAATTTACAAATTTATCCTTTAAGCTTGTAATGGAAAGCTTGTAATGGAGAAGGATATAATAAAAAAATTAAGGTTAGTTTTGTAATTACATTTAACTTAATCTAAACAGTCACTTAAATCCCTCTCAAACCCCCCAAATCGGAGGGATTGCAAATCTGCAGGTTTGAGGGTGGTTGGAGGGAGTCAGAATCAGTCCATCTCCCTCCCACTCTGTCTCTTTGGAAACCCAAATAGGAGGAAGGAGACAGCGCCCCCTCGCTCCTCCTCCCTTGCCATCCGTCCCATCCCTTCCCCTCCCTCTCCGTCCGACACCTCCAATCCAAACAATACCTAAATTTATTAAGGCTACCCAAAAATAGTTAATAACTAATAAAATAATTAATATTTATTATTTAACAAATTAAAATTAGTTTATAAATAAATATTTCTAAATATTATAACCAACTTCAAAGAAAAAAACCTATAAACTAATAAAATTATCGCTAAAATTAATGGTTTAAACAAAATTTTTAGTGGCAATATCCTTAGCCAACAAAAAATGCCATATAAAAGATCAACTACATTATACATATATTGAAATCGAATTAAAGCATGCATTAAAATCATTGTTTTTACAAAACAATTATGGTGAATTATATCAAGAATAGACCTGGCAAATGGGCGGGTTGTGTCGGGTCAACTCGGGTGACGGGTTAGACCGGTTGGGTTATAAACAGGTTACGGGTTGGAAACATCAAACTCTAACCCGACCCTAACGAGTTACAGGTTAACCCGTGGGTTAACCTTATTTCATTATTTATAATTATTTTTCGTTAATTTTATTATACACAAATAAAATTATATATATCTAAATATAATTAAAATATT